TGGTGAAAGAAGGTGCAGGGAGATGCCAGCTTTTCTGCGACCATGGACAGAGCAAGACGTTCATGTCCTCCTCCTTCAGTGTCCCCCACCTGCTCAGCCTGTCCCCTACTTCCCCCATACATCCAAGAACATCCCATGAAGCCTCTCCCCACCACTGCATCCCCTCCACACGCTCGCCGCTGTCCCAGCCCCACAGGCTCAGCACTCGGCCCTCGTCCTCAGCCCCCCGGACACCCTCTCCCTGGTGAGCTCATCCCTCTTCCGAGGGGACGCGCAGGCCGACGTCTCCACCCAGCCTCTCCCGCTCGTAAACCTTCCTGGATGTCCCACTGCCAACTCGAGATCATCGTGGCAAAAACAGGACATCCCCTCCAAGTCCTCCACACCCTGCTCCCGCGGATGGGTAACTTCATGATTTTTTTTTTCCCATTCCCCAAACTCTCAACTTTACCACCATCTTCTGCTCCTTCTTTTTTCTTCACCTCTTCTCCTGGAAAACCCAGCCCATGTGTCACATACCTCCAACCTCAGCTACTCCCCGCTCTGGACTTCACGTTTGCTGGCTCTCCACCCTCCAGTCAGAGCACGACACGGCCAAGCGCACGGGCAGAGCTGGCATTTCTCTCCAGCTGTTTTGCTCACACCACCCTCGTGCCCTTTATTGGCCACGAACACTTTCATCACTCCCAACTATCTCATCCTCCCTCCCTGGACACGCTCAGCCTCGCCCGCCGCTCTCCTCACAAAGCAATTAAATCACCATGGGTGACATTAACAGTGCTCACGCAGAGCACGAACTAGCGCTCGTGTCCTTTCCCTCCCTCACACCGTCAGCAAACATAATAGCAAATCCCTCTGCGTATTCCTGCAGCGGTGACCACAGTAATTTTCCTGTATCTCCTGCTCCCCCTTTATCCACGTGAATTCACCAGCTGGCCACAGGGAAGCCAGGTGATGGAGACAGCGGGAAACAAGAGCCTGGTACCACCAAGAAAAGATGCTCCAAGGACGGGATGGTGTCTCTCTGCGTGGGCAGGCAGCCGAGGAGGATGAGTCCCCCTTGTAGCTGCCACGTCACGGGAATTGGAAATGATGGGTCTCACCTCAGTCTGGCACAAGTGGGGTGACCGCTGCTCCCACCTACACTTGCTGAAGATGACAGCGGTGTCTTGGCCGCCCGGGCGCCTCCTCCATCAGCCCCGAAGCTGCGGCAGAAGGCCACGCCGAAGGACGCCCGGCGGAGCAGAGCCTTTGACAGCAGCCTGATCCCGTGACAGCGGGACGGCGTCCAGCCAGCGCTCCTCAGAGAGGCCTCCCGACCCTGACTGCCAAAATCCTGCCTTAAGTACAGGAAAATAAATTGTGCAACCTGCCTTAGACTGGATTGTAACACCCAGTGCAGGCAGAGGGGGAGGAAGGGGCAGGAGCCGGGCTGAGGATCAGGCCCCCCATCTCAGCATTTAGGCTGGACCACGCCAACACCCGGCGCTGGAGCAGCACCCGCACCAGGCGCTCCCCTCCTCGTCCCTCGCAGGCATGCCCACCATGTTTCTGCGGCCGCAGAGCCCCTCCTCAGGGGTCCCAGAGATGTGGCCACACA